TCCCGGGAGTTTGGGTACAGGATATCACAAATTATCGGAAACAGTAAAAATGATATCCTCCGTAGGTCAGTCAGTAAAAAATCAATAAGCTCCGCGAAGGTATGGCTGATTTAGTATACAAAGGTGTATAGTTAACGGTTGTTCAAACTGAAACTGAGATGTGGGTGAAATCCCAAGATTTTATATTTGTTTAATGGGCACAGCGATTAACAGATTTTCTGTGTTGGAGAATGGATGTCTTCTCAATATTTATGATTAAATTTGAGCACTGAATACTTGAGACCAGGCAATTATGTACAAGCTGAGATAATCGCGGTATTTTTCTCCAAAAACAGCAATAATTTGAGAAGGGCAGGGTAAAGATGAGTAAAACGCGTTAGGCTTTCTGATTGAAGGTATTCAGGTTCCGGCACGTATCTTACGGGAAACAAGGTGGAACAGTTAGACGGTACACATCGGTTATCGTGAACCTCTTGATTTATTAAACTCAGTTTATTGCATTACGTTATGATGGTTCTCCTTCTTCCAATCCAGGTATTTCGAACGCATCCGTTTCGCATATAAATTGTTACAGACAAAGATTCGGAGTTGTTTGAATTAAATTGAACTTTGGTTGAGAGAACCTTGGAAAACCGCCCCGGTGGTGAAGTCACCAAATTGTCACCCCGGGGGATGTGTTTGAATCCCACCACCGCTGCCTGACTTTTCCCATTGTGTGAGTGGCAGCCTTTTGATTGGCTGCTTCTTCGCTCTTGAAAATGGTATCTTTGTATATTGAATAAAAGGAAGTAAAATGAACAAGAAAAAGAACTGTCATTTACTAACCAATGGTTATTCCCATAAAGAAGAGAATAATACTCTTCCGGTGGTAAACTGACACCACATGGCAATTCGTATGAGCGAGCCGGGGGAAGAGGTATTGACCGCTTATTGCGTGAGCCAACAGTGCGAGACACAGCACCAGGCTCAGGACCGTGTACTTTTTCACTGTCTACTTCCATCGGTGAAACCGAACTACCACCAGCAGCCTCTGTGTTTGCTGTCGGTGATTCTGAAGAACGCACATCCGCATTAGCATCCTCATCGATTTTAGGCCGGACCGGTCCCCTCGTGTTGGACGTATCTGGTCCAGTAACCGCACCATCTCGGTCGTTTGTGACCGATTTACGCAGAGCACTCCGCGTCCGAGAGCCATCATGTAGCTCCGTTGGACCTTCTTTAGGTGTTTCGTCTTCCTCTTTTGGATCAAATTCTTCATCTTCTTCTTCCTCGTCGTCCGACATTGGGAAGCGATCAGCCATGAATATATCTTGTACAACCGTGCGCACCTGTTTTTGACAAATATACGGATGGATAAATGCGAAATTTGATTTTAAATCGAGCCGATCCACTATGAGTTAACTGACCTTAGTGGGATGGTGCCAAACACCTAGAAAAAACCTTGAATGAATAAACCAAGCAAACCAAACAAAAGTAGACGAAAGGTAGTTGGAATGTTGTATGCTTTCGGAAATTCTTGCGACTTATGGTTACTCCTTGAAGTTGAGTGTTTTATTATCACAGTTTTTGTACCTATATTTTTTCGTTCACGCATGGTTATTTTTGGCGCCGTATTTGTAAGATTGATGTTAATATATATATCGTTCATGGCGATTGGCAAAGCCGTAAGTAATGCTTTGAGGTATTGAGGCAGATACACCAATGGAGATCAGGAAATAAATAGCACACGAACGCCTGGATGAAAAACCGTGGAATCGTACAGCCAGTTTTATAGTGGATGTCGCTCATCAGCCGACACTCCTCTATCGATTCAATCTTGTACTTTTACCTGAAGGTGAATTTCACAACAAGTTGGGTAATGCACAGCTAAACGCAGGTGTACTGTTGTCACATTTCTTTTACGCTAGAAGGTACACCAAGAGGTTCAGATCAACTTTGTGCAGTGAAACATGGCGAAACCAACTCGATAAGAGAACTGTTAGTCTATGTAAACAATACAATAAGAATATTTACGATCAGATACTGTTTCTCAGCCAATCACTATTCTCCTCGTCATCTTTTAAGCAACGTGGTGTACGGATACGGGCATAATCCAATTCAGCTTACACAGAGGGCACAGCACTGCATTCATTGCTGTTTTACAGTAAAACTGAAGGAAACACAGACAAAAGGTTAACAAATGCAGTGAACCATTGATTGTATGAGGCTTAATTTTTACGATCCACTCCTGATTCGCCCCATCAGATTACTGCGTCGTTCATCGTTCTACGTGGTTGCACGCTGGGGTAAACAAACTCACGGTCAGAAAAGCTACCGCTCTAGCAATTTAGTCGGAGTACCGGCTGTAGTTAAGTGTTTGGCCACCACAGCCAACGACCTCATGGCATCTGAACAGATATCAACAGTCACATGACATTGAAACCTACAGCAAAAAAATGATTGAAGAACATCTTACAAAACATTATCTACCTTTTAAGTAAACCTAGGAATAAGACTGACAAAATGATGGAAAACTGAATATATAGTTGACTAATTATGACAAGCCGAATAGATAATTGAAACCTCTATTAGGAACTGAATTGAACCACATCTTGAAAACATGGACTGCTCCTTGAATCAGTCAAGTTAACAGTTGAATTACACAGAAATAGTATTTGCATGCGCAAGTTCCTCTCGAAGGGAACTGTAGTAGACTGGTTGAAAGAACCCCGCATATATGCGCAAATGGCATTCTCGAAGATAGCTTTAGTAGTCATGTAATCACTAAAACCGTCTACCAATAACAAATGTAAAGCGTTAGTATTGAAGATTTTAATCAACGTTACGGCATTTGCGCGCCTCGTTTGTCTTCATGGATTAAAAAATAAACTACCTACTTACCAAAAACTTCATGGTTCGCTTGTCTTCTTTACTAGTATTTGACTGGCGCTTTACATGATGTATAATGAGCGAAGCGGCATCCTCAAGAAGGGCATTGCGAACCACAGGTGGAGGATATACCAAAGCCAAATGAGGTGAACCGGGCTCCTTGTAGCCTTCGTTTACATTGATCAGAGCGGAACCAATAGTACCAGGGCTGGTTAAATCGGTGCGCGTGGTCAGGCAATACTGGGTCAGTGAAGCAGAAATCATGGTACCGATCGGATCAGTAATACCATGACAAGGCTATTGGTGGGGGAAGTATGGGGTGAAGAAAATTAAGAGGTATAAAACAGGAGGATGGAGATGACGGAGAAGCACCAAGGGTTCGTGTTAATGAAACCGAATGAAAAAGTTAACTAGAACTTGATAACAAAGATAATATAACATCATATGAGTAAGCTGACAGTTCTTTCTAATTCTGCTCGATCATCAGAAAGCGTAGAATAACTATCACACCTACGAGCAAATCGTTTCTAACGTATCACCGCTACATTTTACATACCTATTTACAATTAGTTCTGCTAATTATCACAGTACTTGGTGGGGACACAAAAGTTCAATCAAGTTTGCATCTTATCACCGGTTCTTGGTAGCTGTCAAGGTATCGGTGAGCGAAGCGAACTTGAAGTTTTTTACATTACTTTGAACAATTTGTTCTAGCCGTGAACATATAATATGAGGAATATACAGGTTAACATTTGGTTCATAATATCACCGGATACAAATATATTCATAAGAAAATTAGGATGTCAAGACTTCCACTCTTCATCTGAATTCGGAAATCATTGAATGCATTACACATAACATCCAGCCGTTTTGTACCCTTGCATTCCAACTCGGTTATGATATTGCCCTTCTATCTTGTTAGTTCACAACAGAGGTTTACGGTAAAGTCACAGTCGTGGTTTCTTGCGAGCCGAATTATTGATGATTCCCAAAGGATAAACATTCGGATTGTGAAAACCTGTCGCGTACTACTCACCCCCAGTAGATCTTTGTTTGCAGTGCATTCACCGAATCCTCCAATCAGCAGACAGCAAACACCAGTAAACGACAGTCGCTGTATGATGATCGAACGCCCGTAAAACTAATTGTAATTTGTTCACCCGGGACGAGGTTAAACGTGCAATAGCAGATAGCTGAGCTTAGTGATAGGGAAATCATCATCATGATCATCAACATCGTACACCGAAAGACCAAACTTGCAATGCATACAAAGTTAGTGGTAATACGCAGGTGGACAAGGACTGAGGGAGGGGTAAGGTGAACCGCTATGGTTAACACAGAGTGCACGATCGAATTCTACATGCATAACTTGGCCTGATAAGAAATGACAACAAGAACGCAACTGCTGTCGGTTCGCTGCCATATCCTTCAGTCTCCAACCAACCCGTTGTGGTCGTTCGGACCCCAACCTGGAAGGCGAGAGACACGTATTCTAATTAATAGCTCTGTGCATTTCTTCATGCTTCGTATCCACGTCATCTACTGACCTCCACAAAGTTTCCTCCAGATAGGAGCGGTTACAGCCATTAAAGCGCGGTGCGACAGACGACAGCTGGGCATACGCAATACGTGCCCAAACCAGTGAAGTCTACTAATCTGAATTCGCTGAACCAACAAGTTTATCCCTGATAGATTCCCTAACAAACAACGGCTTACCTCCACGTTACTAACCCGTTCGCTCCATTCAACGTGGGTTAAACTACGTAAACACTGATAACCGAAAACCTCGAGTCAATGAATATCACCTACTCGTAAATTTGGGGTCTCACAAACGTAAAGCAGAACCGAACGGACGATAGAACAATAGACATGGCTTTTCAACTTCAACTTCGCGTCTACGGCGAACGTGTTTCAGTCCTGCGTATGTTGCTCGCGCCTTGGAATTGCGGGCGGTTATCCCCTTTTCTGCATAACTACGTAAGCTTTTTAGTTTCTGTTTGAGTTTGTACAACCATTAACCGTGCCGGTCTTATGGTAACATTTTACACTTTGAAGGTGCAAAACGTATACCGAACAAAGCTACGCTGGCACTCAAGCTACTCACAAAAGCGTGCAACTTACTTACATTTCACTTAATAGCACAATGTCATCTGCACACTCTAGACCCGACAGTCAGCCGTATGGGAGCAAATCGATGCCACTATCCTCACACCGGGCTGTCGTCATAATCAAGTCTATAACAAAATTAACTACCTAAGTAGGAAAAGCAATCAAACATAACAAATTCCTGGCCATTTAATTACGAAGCGGGACTAGGTGCGCGCTTCCTAAGTACATTCAAACAGACAATCGATATCATCAGCATATTCTACGTCGCACAGCTTTCATCCAACTGCCCATTCAATACCTACGTTTTCGAGACCACTAAGTGCGTTCTCCAGAATTTTTTTCCATGACGAAATTGAACAGGAATGACAAAAGAGAGCGCCCTTGATGAAGGAACACACTCTTGCATCCAAACGTGGTGCAGTAAGCTAGTAATAGCGCTTACGAAGGTATTTCACATACACACAAACACATCTTAGAAAGAGTGGGAGGAAGCCAGTCCAGTCCTGCTGTCTTTCTTAGCTTCACAGCTTGGATCCAAGACCGAAATTCTGCTTCCGTCGGAGGATCGCAGGCCACTACCCACGAAGCTTCAGTTGCAGATTAAGCAATCTGGCTAGCACCAGGTCAGCTGAACTGTTCTCTGAAGTATTCCGCCCAACGGTCAGTCCACTGATCCCTATTATGAATAGCTTGTCCCATTTTATCGCAACCTGTTTCACTAATGGGAGTTCGCCGAACTCCCGTATTGCATATCAGTCGGAAGCTTTTCACCATTCCCTGATGCAACTGCTACTTCCATTTCACTAGTTATTGTTGCCCACCAGTTCCCGCGGTTCTTCTCGAGGGTCTTAGTTAACTGACGTTGCAGACGCCACCTAACCCTGCTTTGATCATGGCAGGATTTGTCACTTTTTCTCTATTATGGATAATGACTCATTGAATATCCGATACCTTCGACGGGCTGGAAACGCAGACTCACAAGCAGCATTCGCTGCAGAATGCATTGCTCGCCTAATCTGAACATAACGGCTCATTGACTCCATCACATTGAAGCGCGCTTAGCTCACGCACTGTTTCCAACTCATTGTGTGCACGAACTGCTGGAACGGACAGATGGGAATTAGCTAACCGAGTTTGTTGCCTAAATCGCCGATCGGTGATTCGGAGAGTGAACTACATCAAAACTAATGCGTGGTCAAACTCAACGCAGGTGTTCCAATAGTATCTGCAATTTTTTACTGAACTACGCCAAAGGTAACTTATTGCTATGTGGTCGATTTGAGTTAGCGTATCAGTTGAACTGGAGCGCCACGTTGCCGTCCGTCGAGAGCTGTGTCGGAAGTTGGTACTGGACAGGAACAGATGATGGTCTGCGCAGAACTGAAGAAATCAATCGCCATTATCTGTTTGTTGGCAGGGCAAATTTCTGATGCGCTCAGTTCTCCAACTTGCAGATTAAAATCGCCTGAAAGCCCAACTACGTCGGAGTTCTGACTGAACCAAATAAGTTCGGTGAGCTTGTCGTAGACAGTGCTCTTTTGTGTATCAGGACTGCAATCTGTCTACAGAAGGACGTTTTCAAAGATATACTCACCGAACTCAAACGGTTGAGCCGAAGCTCCAACATGAAACTGAAAGACAACAACGTTGTAAAAACCCATCTCTCATCTCTCAGCATCACAAATGTCTCAAGACTTATTATTTATGAATTCAATTTTCGATCTCAATTCCTGATAATCGTCTAGAGTATTCGGCACATTCCTCCTGCTGTATACCGAATAGCCCGTTGTGCTGTTTTACTTTACCTAGGAGCTAATTTACTAAGCCGAAGTATTACGTGGATAGTCATTGAGATACACATACTAAGCAGATAGTTTTTAGAGGGGGATGAAGTGGCAATTAAAGATGTGTGACAATCTCGCTATGTTTAGGCGATATTTACTCTGCACTACTGGTGTTTGTAAAATTTGGAATGACTGTTTTGTTTCATGCGGCTAGAAAACCTCTGGCTTCAGTATAACACACAACTATAGCAACTGTTTACTGTTATTGTTCCATTCAACTGACCTTATCATCCTTTGCGACTGCTTCGATTTGACTGACCATTGTTTTACTTCGAATTAGGGGAGCATCTCGCTGTTTAAACGTCGCCCCTTGATGATCTAGTGAACGCAAATAATTCCGCGCGTCTTGATCGGCCCATGAACGTTGATAGCCACGAATTGCTTCGCGCCACTCCGTATCCTTCTGGCGCATTCTTTGTATGACCAATGGGACCACAGTCTCGGGGCAAGTTTTTAAACCGCATATCACATCTCCTGCTTTATCTCCATACACCCTTGATGAAAGAGAACAGACAAGGTTGGTAGCACGTAACAAGTTCAACATTCGCTATAACACAGTGATGTATTGATTAAGTCGGGGAAAGTCGAATAAACTGAGATAAACGATACGTGAAGACAGCACACATGAAAGTACATGTAAAAGAGGAAAAGGATGATAAAAGGGGAAGCCACACACAGCTTACCGATGAATGGCCTTGCGCATTAATATAGCGGACGTGCCACTAAGATTGTCATCCAATTGGAACTGAGTAAGTTCTTCGCGTTTCATGCTGTCCATTTTTCGCTTGACAACTACCAAATTTTGCATGGCCATTCTGTTTAGTTCAGTCACCATATCAACTTCGTAACGTTCATCTTCGACGCGATACATATTTTCCTCATACTGATTTTTCTTGGAAGATACAAACTGTGAATCCTCAGATGTTAGTGAGGAAAAGCTGATGAATGAATCATTGANNAGAAAGTTACTTCTAGTCAGGCATTTGTAGCAATCATTTAATTGTTGCACACTGCTTAGAAGTAAAAATACCACTTGCATGTAATACGCAGATAACGATGTTTAGAGTTCTTAGGAAACGCATTTGTTGATGAAACGATCAGGTACGGTCGATGTGATTCACTGAAGTGAACTGTGGGTGTGAATAGACTTATTAACATTGCAACGCACCACACCTATCCTATTTGAAACAAGGAGTTAAGTCGCCGGTTACCCTAACCGAACCGTAGGTCATTGGGACTAGGGGGGTAATTAGTTCATACTTTTAATCACATAACGGTGCGCAGTTTAAAAAAATACAGCAACAAAAAATATGAGCAAGTATGGGAAAAAGGACACATTCATTAGCCGAGTAAGACTTTCAGGATTATTCCGATCTTGTGAGTGGCTTACGTAGACTAAATGAGAATTTGGTCGATTGTGATGAAGTGATCACTAACCACGTACTGTATATTGCTTGACAAGTGGGAAAAACAAATAGACTCGTTTTATTTATACTCATGAGGATCAAATGATCGACTATAGGATTTGCAGTAGAGAACCATGCAATGTTACAGATGTGATATCGAGTGGCGGGATAGTGCACGCCAGTAATAAACCGCCCCATAAAATTTATCCAACGATCGAGCCGTTAGCGATTGTGCTCACATTAATGTTAAATTTAGTAGGCAGCTCCAGTGAACCAGCTCCGTCATCGATGTTACCTTTTTTACTATAGGTTGTACTCGTTTTATAGTGCTGTTCTACGTTTTTCTGACCTCAGTACACAAATAAAACCAGACTTTGAAAGTACAATCAACCATTTCATCCATACGAATTTCGATTAACTGAGGAATAGTTCCACCCAGATGATCTTATCATGCTTTTCAACATAAATTTCAATAGTAAAATCGCTGAATAACTGTTTGAAATGAACGTATAAACTGGCCGCGGAACATTTGGTTTTAACGAGAGGTGGGGAATACTGGAAATCTCTGAGGAGTCACTTACGCTTCAAGGGCGTACCATCGAATCGATCGTATACTAGTCTCCTAGAAATCGTAATATGTATACAACATTTCATTATCATCCGAGTCCGATTGTGAATACGATAAGGTTTCAGTTGTCAATCCGTAGGACAATCACTAGACCAGATATGAGCAAACTGTCAGCATTATACCCAAAACTATATAAAGGACAATCGAAATGTTTCAACTATCAATGTATCAATTCAAACCGCTAGGTTTCGGTTTCAATGCATATTCCTCTTTTGAAATGAAACTTCACCTCTTTGGCTATCGGACACTTTTGGCGCCCCGAACATTTGCTTTGTGGAAAATTGGATGGAAGTGCTCGATAGCTGGTCCCGCATAATCTCAGTTTGCTGAAATCCAAATCCAAGCGCTTCTGGGCAGCATCTTCGGCGAATGCGTTTAATGTGACGTGGCCAGCGCCTGGAGCCTCATGAGGATCATCGAACGAACCCCGTCGGTCACGATCAAGTTTCTCTCTATCCCGTAGGTCGGAGGACTGCAAACCCAAGGCCCCACTCAGTTCCGTATTGGAATACGGTGCGGAGAGCTAGGAGTTACGGGAACCAAGGAAAGACAATTTAGTATATCATTATCCTTCAAGGTAGCTCGAAACTAGTTGAAACTGAAGTAAATTAAAACCTGACTCACCATGATCATATCGTGAAAACTCTTCCAGACATCACTATGTCGAGGGAAGAGTGTTTTTGTGGCCCCAAGCAACTCGTCGACTGTGAGCATATTTCTATTGAAAAGCTTTAGAATTTGTTGGAAAGTTTGATATGCATGATCCCCCGAAGGTCCATCGGCATCCAAAGCAACACGAATCTGTATTAAGGATTAGGGAATAATTGGAAAAGTAGCAAACCTTGTATAGAAGGGCAGTATCTACACCCGTAGCTAACTGGTTCACTTCTGATACACTAACATCACGAACATTTGAACGGGGTTTCTTTACAGCACTCCCTGTGTTATTGAGATTGTTAGGTAGGGATGCAACAGCAGGTGCGGGAGCAAGGCGTTTCAACTTCTTTGTTTCAGAACTGGGTATATGAGGAGCCGTGGTACCCAACACGCTCGTATTGGGCGACTCATGCCGGTGACGACTGACAGGAGCAGTTAAACTGGACACTTCGGAAACGCGATTCACGGGCTGGGGTACGGGAAGGGGTGTATCACTTGGACTTGGATCAGCGCCCGGTGGTTGTATGTGCCCGGAAAGTTTACGACCGACAATACTTTCGGTCTGATGAAGTGAAGGAATCATAAAAGAAACACAGTACTTACCACGGCATTCGTAACACCTGTTGACTCAGGAAGGAACTGACTAAACTCTTGCAAAAGATCTTCTTGCCCATCAAAAAGTTTAGAAACATCCTGATAAACTTGTAGTTCAGCTTGTTTTCTGCGGAGTGGATCTGAATGTCGCTGCTCTTTTTGGTACCATTGCAATATATCAAGAAACCGTCTGTAAGCATCCGGATTGCCCTGAAAACGGTTCTGCAGGGGAAAGTGGATTTTCTACTACTTTTAACAAGCTTACCTTTATTTTATTTACATATAGCAATGCATGATTGAAAGATTGTGCCTGTTGCTGTTGCTGATAAACATGTGAAGGCATTGACGACTGACCGACTGCTGTGTTTACGGTATAGGGACCACGCGCAGTGTTGGGGTAATTTTCTTGATAACTCGATCCCAAAAGGGTCTGTTGGGTGGTTTGACTGTAGATTGTTGTATCCGATGTCTGTGACCTAGAAGATGGTGAACCACCCATTTGTGGACCAACATTCGATACATAACCGCTAACCCGGTTTTCGTGCTGACTGCTCGTAGAGGACGATAGGTTAGCAGAACCACACCAATCGTTCACACCCTCTGCTGATTTGACGTTGGTGCTATATGTTTTAACAGGGGAAACGTGATCCAATGCAGAAACAGCCAAGTTAGCACGACCGGAATTCGTATTATTCAGCCTCGAAACAGGAGCATCCATGCGGTATCCTTGGGGTATAAACGTATTGAACCCCACGATAAGATCGGGATGACCTTCGAACAACTCACGTACCCTACGAATAACAGCTTCCGTGCCGATCCTTAAGAATAAAAATATATGAAAGACCACCTACGTTTGTGTTTTAAATTCTCGCATGACATCAAGGAAATCCGTATATATGGCATCTTGTCCGGCGAATCGAGCTTTTACCTGATCCAGATAGGACAACGCATCTTCAACCTTGAGGCATTTCATCATGGTTCAAACCTAAAAATAAAAACAAAAAAATCAAAATTCACTTTCCACTAAAGCAAAACTGACGTTACAAGTGAGTTTCTACGTAATAGCTATGCATTTCTTCATGCCTTGTTTCCACTGTTTAGCAATGAAGACAATGCCTGCTTCATGTGCTTGTTCCCCGAGATACCGAGTAGATGATTGTTCTGACCCTAAAAGCACTCTGTAGTCAGACCGCGTAGATGACTGGAGTTAATGGCGAGCTTTCACCAATTTTAAGTCAACCATCTGGTACTACAAAATTCCAAAGAATCACATTGTCATCGTCGCACTGATTCGAGGTTACTGACGCCATTGAGTCTTGAAGCTTGCGAACCCAAAAATAATGAAAGAAAATCCATATTGCATGCAATAAACAAACAATGTGTTGCTACTCCTTCCACAGACAATTCCTAAAGAGTCCTTATTGTATTGACTATATATATCAACCTTTACACATACACTGCCAAAACAAAAGTGGACTGAAACTAAAAGAAGCA